TAAAGACATCCTGAGTACTTTCCCCAAAATGTCTTTTTTTGTAATTTAGCAATTTTTAGCTCAAAACTGATCACTTTGGCCTGCATTTCACCAATAGTCTTATTAACACTGTCAATCTTTTTCTGAAACATTAAACAAAAACTTTTTATTAGCGTTTATTTTTCGGAGATAATTAGATCTAAAATTTGCGAACTGTGAAAATGTTCTATTGGTAATTTTGAAGTGAATTATTGCTTTCTTCCGAATTTACACAATTTTTAACGCAACACAACCATCTTGTTAAATTAGACAAAATCAAAATTAAGTAAATCAAGAATAGTGACAAATAAAATTTTAGAAAAACTGTCTCCGTCTTTGCGTGAAATGACTTTTATTGATATTCAAAATTTGTCAGTGTGATAAAATTAGAAAAAAAAACACAGCTAACAGAAAAACAAAAAAAATTACAAAGTGTCGGCACTATTTTCAGGTAATTTTTAAGGTACTCTACCCGTTACTATTTGTTGGTTATTTTGTCGGGATGCGGGTTGTTATTATTAAACGTGGGTGCATGAAAATGACCCCGATAAAAAGGTGTGATTACAGCTATCCCAAAAAATAGCTATATAAAGACATCAAAACTAAAAATAAGTGTTTGGGATATTGTTTAAAATTTTTCTGAAACGTTCAAAATCGGTAAGACGTAAAACTGACGTCGTGCAGCTATTCGATTGCCACGGACATTTTTATAGACACTTTCCGTGGCTTCTGAATAATGTATGTTCGAAGCAGAGAGCAGAATTCGGGCATCGTCGCCTATCAGGTTGCCCTAATGCAACATCTTTTCATCTTCGCTGTTCCCAGCTCTTTATTTCGCCGGTGAATGTATAATTTACAAAGAGATTAGCCCGCGGCAGTGCGAACTAATTACACAGGCTGAATACTCGATCAAAAAGCACAATGTACACACGACAATCGCATAATTGAATAAACAACAGCACTACAAGGCACCCACTAGCGCTGGATGTAACAATTAAAAAAAAATCTGCGGCAACCAAATGTTGACGTTTTAGGGTTTTTACACCTACTCCTAGGTCTACGAAAGAAAATCATGGTAATTTAATAATTACGTGTATGTTTTAAAATAGTACCACAAACTTAACCAATCGATATAATAATTTTTGAACCGTTTTCTTGAACAACAAATTAATTGTAGTATGTCATCGTTTAAGAAGTTACCAATGATTCACGAAAACAAATTACCTGCGTCTGCATTGCATTAAAATGTGGATGACGTGTCGGGACTCCACATATATAAGATATGCCAAGCGCATCCGGGCTAGACTTTTTACCTTAGTTTATAATTTTGTTCAGTCTGTCGGATAGCGCTTTGGATCTTGGGTTTTCTCGTTCACACAGCCGTGTCTAAAACTTGCAGTACAAATTTGATTATTGATCGTGTATGGAGTTATGAAACGTAACATCCTGCTCGAAAAACCATCTTGGGTGTTGTAATTCTATGAGCTCACTTTTGTAACTACAAACTAGAAAGAATTACAAACTTTTCAGTTTTGAAAATATTTCTTTATCAATGCCAATAGATAGTAACATAAATAAATACTTTAATTATTTTAACGTGTGGTTAAGTTGAGAAATATTGACATTCTCCCTCTCGAGATTATTGAGTTTTTTAGTGTTAGTTCGTGTATTTAACTCATTATCTTTACTTCCCGAGCGTAAGCTAAGGATCGAGTCCATCGGACGAATTGCCACTTTTATGTTTTCTCGACGTTTCATGACCTCCACTGTCTGTGACATGTCACTTGATTCAAAAAATTTTGGAATTTTAGAATGTCCTGAAGAAGCTGTAAATAAACGACTTTTTTCTCAAATTTATTCTCTTGTATTCGACACTGCCGACGAAATTCGGACGAAATATAATTGAGCGACGGTCGAAAACGAATCAGACTCTGAATTACCTGGAGACTGAAAGATAGCACAAGAAAAACCGCAGAATATGGTGATCATATTTCGTTATAGTGCATCTAACAACGGTCGGAACTCCTGTTGAGTTTTTGTCGCTTCAGTGAAAAGCTCTGTTTCGGACACACAAAGCAAACGGTTTGGCTCCAACAAAACATTAAGACCACGGGGCAAAAACCCGCAGTGTCAGTCCGCGTACCCGCTTTATTCAAGTCCGGCAATTGAATACAAATCCCCCCACGTCACGAGGAAACTCTTCGGACAGGTGAAATATTAAATAAGACGTTAGAAATGTCGGAGAGCTAAAAGACGAATGAAGTTTTTTCCTGTAACAGGGATCGACATATTCGCTTTGTCGTCTTCAGTTTCCAATTCTCGCGGCCTTGCGCTATAATTTATCGCTCTTTGCAATGTTGGATCATTAATTACTTTTGGTCGTGTTTCTGATATCTGCGAGCGTCTTCGATGCGATGAATTACTTTTTTAGCGGAGAAAATAGAAAAGTACCACGATGATAAATCGTCGGACGACGAATTTTCAGCCAAAACTTTAAAAAGAAGAGCAATTGCTGGTTCGGATGACTTTAGTCACGAGAAAAACGAAATTCCTGATAAAGATTTGGGATTTTTCTCGCAGTCGTGTTGCTTTCATTTGATTTGATTGATTGCAGTTTTGATCTGTATTTGAAATTCGTAAGTTGATGAGCCTTGTGACTCTCATGAGCTAAGAGGGAATAATTTATGTTTAATTGATGAGTGGTTTCCTTTTTTTATGTTAACTATTTCGAACAAGAAACGTTTTAGTGGTCATAATGTTTAGGCATAAGAGATGATTTTTTACCTATTGTTAACAGCCCGCTAGTATTAGTCATCGTCCGACAAGGACACCCCAAGACGGTTGTTTGTGCTCGGTAAACATCGATAATGATCGAGGGGTAGTTACTCGTAGTAACTAACACCATTTGGGAGCCTGGGTAAAAACAGACAATGTTTATTTTAAGGAGGTGTTACCCTAACACAAGATCAACAGACCTAATTTAATGCTTCGTTTTTTATCGACGCTGCCGTCAACAAATCCACTCCGAGCTCTATTCTATTCGTTGCACTCGTTTCAATTCCCTGAGATCGTCTAGTTCGAACACTATTGTGCACAATACATAACGTTTTATTTATACCCACTACAAAATATTCCAAAAAAATTATATTTGTATGAATGAAAATTTCTAACAAGTGAAACATTACTTTTTTTTTGTCTCCTTGCAGGTAAAACGGCTATTTTTAACCTTTTCAGTCTTTTTTCGTGGGTGACGGGAGCTATATTTCAAGCGTAATTGAACTGTAACGCCTATTGCTTCCATTTCATTCAATTGTTATACGTATGGCTGTGCTTAAGAGAGGATTTAAAGTGGTGAAAGTTGACTAAGGCGCTACGAAAGCTTTGCGGTTTTGTCGTCGAATTAGCGCCGAATAAGCGCATAGACAAACCGAGAAATTAAATCGCATCTGGTCCAGAGACTTTAAACTTAGTTATATCCAAACCCACCAAATAATCCTGTTTCGAATGGCACCCAAGCTGGGATTGGAACTGACATGAGTGACTCTGGAACCAAAGGCTAACATGCAAATATAACTAAACAAGTGCGTTTGTTGACAAGAAAGGATTTACGAGCTAAATTTTTGTTAATTTTTATTAACCAATTAATGGTAGAAATAATATAATATGATAAAAAGGTACAACCGTTTTTGGGTAGATAGTTGGGAGAAGGATTTTAAAAAAATTCCGCCTCAAATTACTATACTTGAGCAAAAATCGATTTATTTTTTACATTGAATCGTAATTCTCTTAAAAAAATTTAAACTAGCGGTTAACGCGAAGGCGTTGAAAGACCCGGGAAATTTCCTTCGAGATTAGCTGAAGGAACTTATCGATCTAATCCACTAATCACCTTATTAAAGTTTAATTTGTACACCCTCCCTTAAGCTTGATCGCATACCCCTCAACCCAAACAGAGTGAATCAGATTGAATTAAAACCGCCCATATCGTGTTTCAGAAGTTCCATATTGTTATTTTGATTTTTTATATAAGCACTATACTTAGTTACACTACGATATACTTCTGTACTTGTAGTGTACGAATCCGTTTTGAATTTTTTCCCTAAACGTCCAAATTTTCGCAAAAAAATTAACACAGTATAACAGCCTTTTACCACTAATTCAGAATATAATCGTCCGTGGCCTCATGGCTAAGGCGTCAGCATGCAGATTCGATGCCAAGCTTGGTCGTTTCTTTTTTTTTTTCGTGGTATGACCAGTATTATGTATGTTAATGACGTCATCATAAATTTTTTATTGATCAAATTAAAAACGAGTCATCCCAATTTCTGGAAAATGTGAGAATATGCACGTGTTTATTTAATAATTTTCACATTTTGTTCGATTGTGGCTTCATTAATAATAAATTTAGTCCGCGGTTTTGAAGAGACAAGCTCATTTATAGGTAAATCAAATTAATTTCTTCGTGACATTCTTTCGACTTATGACCATAAACATTTGAGTTAAGCTTGTTATTAGTGCTGGGAGGACATTTTATCGTGTCTGCTTTAAATATATTTTACCATTGTTTTTTGATATTTCAGTTTTGCGATTTTTCAATTTCTCAGTTTCTCAATTTCTAGTTTTTTAATTTTTGGAAAAATTGAACAAACCTAAAAACTGGAAAAGCGAAAACTTGAAAAACCGAAAAATAGAAAATATGAAAAACCGAGAAACGAATAATTGAAGAATCGAAAAAGTGAATAATCGGGAAATCAAAAAATAGAAAAATCGAGGTTGTGAAATATAAAAATCGAAAAATCGAGGAAGATCTAAAAGTCGAAAAATTGCAAAACTGAAAAATTGAAAAGTTTAAAACCGAGAAACTAAAAAATCAAAAAGAAAAATCAACCTGATCTGACCTAACCTGACCTGCTGACCTGCGGTAGTAAATGTTAGCAATAAGTAGTGAATTCATATTCTCATTTCTTACTTCTCGGCACGTTTTAGTAAAAGCACAATCACTGATTTTTGATTTTCACTGTAACATCTATAAAGTTAAGTAAATGAAGTAGGTATTAGATTTTATTAATGGCAAAAACAGTCTTTACATTCTTACTGTCTAACGGCCTTAGGAAAAATTCTTCGCTGTTCCATGTACACGCAACCTGAAAAAAAAGAAAAAAGTAAGTAAAGCTATTTATACGGAACTTCCTTCGCCTCTGAGGCATAACAAATATCGCATGCATGCCTAAACATATTTCTCAATTGAAGTTTATTAATTTAACGTAATCAGCTTTGTGTTAGAGATAAGTATAGATTGTCTTATCGCTTGTGGCCAATAATCTACAAGTGTGTAGTTAGAATTTTTTTTGGTTACCCAAATTTCTTCAGCTTTCAAATATGCATACTGTCATAAACTTTACCTGTATACACAAGTAAATTCTGGGTTGCCGTGGTTAGAAATCACTTCAAACTCAACGTACTTGTAATAGGCAGAGTCATTGTTTATATGAAAAGTTTGTACTGTACTAGCGTCGCTTTCATACTTGAATTGCCCTAGTAATCGTTTGTTTCCATTAGGTTGATCCAAACCCTTCAAAAGAAAAAAACTTAACACTATAATAACAAACATAAAATAGTTCTTACCCATATTTTAAAATCCTTCGGTGCAGTATCAATTTTGCCACTTGGGGAAATAGTTTGAGGAATGTGTTCTAAAGTGACTGAGTCGATCAGTAAATTATCGATTAGTTCTATGACAGCCTTGCCATTACTTCCTTTAAATGCCCAACATTCACCAGGAGATGTTGTCGCTTGTATCATGGACGATGGGCCGTGATCACCTTCGCAAATACTGAATCCCAGAAATGTCTTCGGGTTTGAGAAGGGAACAGTATCGACACTGATTACTCGTCCACCGCTAGATTCTAAAGCAAAGTCCGGCCTACCCACAGGATCTTTCAACAAAAGTTTTAATGTATCGCTGCACTTTTTATCTAAAATATTTTTGTTTAGTTGAATGAGATCCGAGTTTCGACGAATTTTTAACCCAGCTCTTTCGATAACTTGGCATGAGGGTCTTCTTTTTTGTGGACGCCTGTTATTTTGTCTACTTCTCCCTGGAATATACGTTTATGAAGTGCCTGTAAGCGGCGTGCAAACTCTAAATTTTTCGTTTTTAAGTTTATACAATGTTTTAAATGAGAGTCAGTTAATCACGCGTTTAACGAGGCGTTTAGCGACATCTGATTGGCGTAGAGTCGGTCAGGTGGTACTTTAATGCCGTGTTAAAAATTTAACACCAATCAAATATTTAATTGAGCTTCTGTAAACCGGGTCTAAATCTTTCTAATGAAACAAAAGTAATTTTACAAAAATACCTTGAGTTTTTTTATTTCGCTGTCCATTACATACTGAGAGTAGATAACAAAAAACATTCCTTAAAAACAGTGTTTCATTGAAACGGTAGTAAAATAAGCCAAATATTACCTCCGATCAGCAGAAGATAAAAACTTGTTAAAAAGTATGAGCACCATGAACTTCTTTTTTTTCTTCTGGGTGGTTCAGGGCAAGGATCGAAGCAATAGTCCATCGCAGGTTCGTCTTCGTCCAATATAGGTGGATTTTCTAGTCTGTTTGATCTAGAACAAGTGCTACCGTTGAACTTATATTAAAATAATATCGTCTTACTTATTGTAATTTAAATTTTGTGCTTTATTTCGTTTGTTGGATGTTTTGTTGGAAACTGATTTTTCAGCATTGGAATTTTTAGCTACAATATTAATTTTTGGAAAATTACATTGACATCTCATCGGAACACTTACACGAATAGCGAGTATTATAGCGGTGTCCTCGGGTTGGATAACATTCTTCGCTATCTATTCGAAAGAACAATGTTTTTAACGAAAAAACTTTTCATGTTGACTATGTTCAAAAATTACCTGAATCTGACACTTCACTGGTTTTCGTGATTGATGTGTAACTCATTACAGACAGTTCTAAATTTATAGATGAAGGCTTCCGACTAGATTACAATTATATTCTAGTAAATGAATCATGTCTTACTTCACTGATGTAACTGCTTAATGATAATTTCATTAAAACATTTTTATCATTAATCTCTAAACATTTGAAGAATTACTTCACGGTAAGAAACTTTCCAATCTACCAAGTTTTACAAACTTTCGAAAGAAGAATAATCAATATAAAGCACTTACGTTAAACCGTTTAAATTTGTCGGGTTATGAATTTTGCATCGCCGCCATAAAATTTAAGATTGCTGTTATTCTGTTGTAGTCAATCAAAGGAAAAAATTGGAAACCGCAGTTTTCTCATCAAGTTAATTAGTATGGCTGGCCAGACTACAGCGCTGTTTAGACGGTTGCATACAATGAGAACATCACTTGCTTGCTAATGCCCTAATCAAAAGCCCTTTGTCGTTCATAGAGATCCCGAGGGACTTATATCCGTAAAATAGTTGCTTAGACAAGCAACCATACTGGGTTGTTTTCATTTTTAGAATTAACCTCGACTTGTACCGGATATCAAGTTATAACTTAGTGAGATATGGTGAGTTGTAACATATCGGGTGTTCAATTAAAACATTGTTCGAAGGTTATTTCGACAGAACTTCCCTCGCTCTTGAAGTATAATCCGACAAATCCAGCTCATTAAAAAATTAAAACAGATTTTACGATTTTCGTTTTGAAATATCCGATGTAAAGTAAAAACGAGCGGCATAAATAACACCTCCGCAGCCCCTGCGCCGTACAGACAATGTAAAATATATTTAAAGCGCTTAACTAACGGGTTAAATTGTCCTTCAGCCTCGGTAATAGGAATCTGAAGTGTTTATTTATTTTATGTATCGAAAGAATGTCACATAGAAATTAGTTTCAATTGAGTTTGTCTTCTCAAAACAGATGACTAAAATTATCAAGTAGGTAAACCACAATCGAACAAAATGTTCTGAATATTATAATTCTTATTTTCTCATTAATATATAAAGACGTGCCTATTTTCACATTTTCGAGAAAATGGGGTGACTTATTCTTAATTTGACCAATAAAAAATTTGTTATGACGTCATAAAGATAGATAATACACAATGCGAGAGAAAAAGAGGAAAAAAAAAAAACGAAAAGCTTGGAATCGAACGCGCGATGTCGGTCCGCATGCCTCAGTCTTAACCACTAGACCACGACTAGGATGTCCTAGGCTACTGGTAAATTAGTATTCTACCGTACTTTATGTTTTTGTAAAAATTTAGACGTTTAGGAAAAAACTCGAAGCGGATTCGTACACCACACTTATAGGTGTATATTGTTGTATAACAGTTAAATCAAATAAACATAGAATTTTTTGAAATGACGTCATCAAATTGTTGGTGGGGATGATCAGCAAAATTTTGGTAACCATCTACGTGATATTTCTAATATACATACAAAATTTGACAATGAGGGATCATGAAATGTCGAGAAAATATAAAAGTGACTCGTGAAGTAAAAAGTCATCAAGTTGGCGTTGCTTTTTTGATAGAAGAAAACGTAGAGAGAAACGCTTGTGTTTTATTAATTCATACTGTTCTATATAATTGACATTTCCGCGTTGTTAGCTGTCATCGAGTAAATTGGAGGGTAATTGTAGACATACTTCACAATGTTTACAAAAAATCAAAGCCAATTTGATGATTTTTTTAATTGAACACCGGTTATACAGTAAAGAAAAGGATTTCTATTAATTTTACAGGGTTTGGGTTTTTAGTTAAACATTCCCACCATGTGACTGACTAGCCAGATACGAATTAGGTTCACGTTTCCTTAATTTGATAAAGATAATCGCGATTCAGCTTCTGCCTCCTATTCTTTATCGAATTGTGGATTTATCGGTGAATTCTGTGTCTCTTGTTCTTGTGAACTACATGGAAGCGCGGTATTAATAATAATTAACTCTAAAACGCGCCCTAGGCTTCCAATCACATTCACTCGTTTAAATTGAAAAAACTGAAATTAAAAATGACGTTGAATTTCGTGAGAAAAAATTGGCAATAATCGGTTCCGTAATTTCGGAGATTACATGTTTAATAAAAATTGATTCAAACGCGAGACAAATAGACAGATAGACGGAAACGGGAGATCATCGTACTTTAGGGTCATGAAACGTCTAGAAAATATCAAAGTGGCAGTTTACGCTCGGGAAGTAAAAAATACGAAACTTTGTCATACTCCCCGAGGAAATTGACAAAAGGACTTTCGAAAGAATTTGAAATAACCGAATATCGGATTTCCTTAAATTAGACGAACAGATGCTACAACTTTTCCACGAACATATTTTTGAAGAAAATAACTAATATTAACGTCGGAGGAATTCATTTTTAGTCTATCGTAGTGTTTTAGTTTTGGTTATACAATTTATAATTTTTATTTACAGAGAACACTAAAATTTAGAAAACCTTTTGAGTAATACCTAAATGTTAATTTGAGCAACGTAAATACAGATTAAAAACGCTATTCTTTAAGGGATTGTAAACATTAGTACTCTTGAAGCGGCACCTTTTATCCAATTCACCTCTCTGATTTCGAATTACGAAATTTCACACTTTATGAAAAGTACACTTTCAGTGTGATAATGATGTACACATTTGTAGATTACGCATTCTACAATCGCCTCAGTTGTTGATAATTTTGCGAAATGAAAAACTGAGTGGTATCATTTTTTTTTTTTTAATATTTACATGAATTGTAAAATTATATTTCAAACCAAAATAAATCAGCGTGATCTGCCCGATAAATAATAACATAGTATGGGTAACAGGGGCGAATGCTTTTTTCTGCCATTGTTCCGGTCAACATAATGTTTCTCGGCTACTGGAACGCGAGCTTTTTGTTGTCTACCGACGCGCTTGCATTTAATCTTTCGAGTCGACAAAGCTTTTATAATTGGACCGTGTCCTTTGATTGCTTTTTGAATTACGACACATAGAACTCCTCGTTAAAGTCGAACCATTTAAATTATCTACATCAGTGTTAGGCTAGATCGTTAGAATTAATTGTATGAAAAACACTATCAATTTTCCATTACGTTTGTGGTTATCCATATTTTATTGCGTTATATTTTGAACTGGCATTATTGCTGTTCGCTAAATTTTCTACGAAGGTGTCAAATATTGGTTAGGTCTGACTTTGATATGACAGGCTATAAAAACAGTCCGAAATGACAGAAAATTGGAAGCGACAGCTGAAATAACTGAATTAATTGAAGGATCGGTATGTGCTCGACTCATTTGACAATTGCGTAATTAATGTTAAATGTTTACTGTGTCAATGTTTGTTTGAAATGATACAGAGTGAATTGCAACAGCAGCAGCATCGTAATTACATATATTCGAGTATAGTTCTATCGACAAAACAGCCGTTCACAGATTTTCTTAAAAAATATATTATTAATTAAAAAAATGTTATCTTCGGGAATAATAAATTTTTTGTCGCATTTTTATTTATCATGTGTGAAGAGTTATTAGGATACGCTTTGTAGTATATTTTGCTGCAGTTTTATACAGATAAAAAATTGGTGTGAAGTAATTTGCACAGAACTTCCCTCGCCCTTGAAGTACAACAAATACAAATTCTTCGGAAAATGATAGGAGTAAATTTTGCGATTTTTGTTATGATGATTTATAACAAGTTAAAAAAATCTATGTGAACTGTTAAAGTACAGATAAAGAAGCATGTTAAGCATTGGTTGCAAGTGAGTTTTCCCAGAACAAAATTTTGCGATTTTTAGCAAGGACACGTATATCAATTTGGATAGTTGTAGTGCAATACTAACAATAACAGTTCTGTATACTTCAATTTTCGGAAAAAATAGATTGACTCGTTCTTGATTTGATAAATAAAATAGATTTTTCAGTCATTTCAGATTTATTTGTTTTTGCATTTTCAAAATTAAATTGCCAAATGTTACACAGTTTTGATTTTTTTTCAAAAAATCTGGAATTCTAGGGTGAAAACTCAACATAAACCCAGAAGTGCAAGAGTATGTTATAATTTCCCGAGCGTAAGCTAAGGAGGGATCAAGTCCATTGAGCGAATTGCCACTTTCATATTTTGTCGCCGTTTCATGCTCCCTAGAGTACGAAAAAGTGATCTCCCGTTTCCGTCGGTCTGTCTGTCCGTCTGTCTGTCTGCCGTCTGTCTGAATTAATTTTTATTACACACGTAACTCCCGAAACTGGATCGATGGCCGCCAAATTAAAAAAAAATTTAAAATCGAAAAGTTTAAAACCGAGACACTAAAAAATCAAAAAGAAAAATTAACCTGACGTGATTTGACAAGCATCAGATCACCGCTCTGAGTGTGATGGAAATATGTACCTACTGTATGTTTTCTTCAGACCAATTTTTTTTTATAAAATTTAAATAAAATTTACTACTACTATAAATTTTGGAGATGACATCATCCCAATGTTGGTGAGGGTGATCAGACAAATTTTGATCAGCATTTTACTATGTACACAATATTCTTAACATAGATTTATAAAATTCGTTAACAATCGGTCTAATAGTTTCGGAGATTATCTGTTTAATAAAAATTGACGCAGACGACAGACAGACAGAAACAAAACATGAAAGTAGTCATTACAATACAATACTTCCTTAGCTTACGTTCGGGAAGTAGACATCAATGCCTTGTAACTGGACCGAATTCCTTACACGAAAATCTAAACAAGTTCTTCAAGGATTTGTGAGTCCTAAACAAACATTGTTTTCTACGCAGATTGCATAAAAACTTTCCCTTCATGAACTACCCTCTTTAGCAGACTCGCATAAAAATCACGTAGCTGCAACTGGACGAAAGAAAATTTCGTTCGAATCTTGAATGTACACTTATATGAATTACGTCCCGATTTTGTAAGTTATACTTTGAGTTCAAGCCCAACAAAACAGAACTCAGAACCTTCAAAACCACGATTAACAACATTTCTAGTCAGTAATGTTTTTTACCTGAATCACCAAGTAATCGTCAACATGCTTTTCATAAAATAAAACTAATTACGAACATATTTCAAGGGATATATTATTAAAGTAGTTGCTGGAGCAACATTTTCAGGTGACGCAGAATTAAGCCGGCACACGTTCGCTTTGAATACAAAGAGCTTGAATGGATGTTTTCAACCCGAAATTTGAAGTTTAGCTTCATTTGAATTATTGTTTTGAATAATATTTGCATATTTGTACTTCTATTGTGTGTTTTATGATGTCTAAGAAAATGTGGAGCCAATTATACGAGGCAGATTAATTGTTATTGCTCTTTGAATGTTTATAAACACATTTTGCCAAATAGACAAGTATGAAAGTTTATAGTCATTGTAGTTTTGGTGTTCGCAAAACTTATAATGCATTTTTTGGATTCTACGAGCTGTGAAACCTTAATTTTATTAGAAGCAAATAATTTCGTGAAATTAGGAGTATTTTTATGTTACGAGTTTTTTAAGTTGTGCATTTTTTAATCGCTTGATTACTAATCAAATTAATACGGGATATAATTTTCGTATATATAATTTTCATTTAATGAATAATGTATGCTTTCTACTTGAACAGACAAGAACAGCGGTAACGGTCGTTTCGCAACAGAATCGGTGTCGTCTTGCCCAAAGGATTTTGCAGAGAGAAACTGTAATCAAAATTTGAGAGCTTTTGTAGTGGAGTTACTTCAACTAGACCCCAATCGAAAGCTGTATCAAATTACGACAGGTGCAATTTGCAATGTGGAGTTCTTAACGGATCTCTTGGCACATTTAGCCACGCTATTTTGATTAAAACTTTTATATTTGCTCCATACCAAAGAACATTTGTGAACACTTTAAATTATTATGTTTTTTTATTGTCGAAGTTTTTATTTATATGTATGCGACATCGAAAATTTTGTTTTAGTATGACCTTGTTTTATTTTGACAAGGTACATTATGTGAATAATAAGAAACGCTGTTATTATTCATAAATATATGTATTATACTTCAATTGTTAGAAATCTGGAATGAATCTGAGGAGTATGTGTTGGTGGATTTAGAGATCGTCATATTATAAACTAATTTTTCTTGTGCAATCAATTTATGAGCAAATATGTCGTGAGCCACAGATGGCCTAACCATTAATGTGAGCACCGGGAATCATCAATCTTCGTGCAGCTCATTCTGTTTCGTAGTGAGCTAAGCGAATTGAAAACATTCGGGTGATTTTTTGAGCAGTTTTTAAAATATGTACAACGAATAATTTATTCCATTACTTTTAAAATTCCTTGCGATCCGAACGCCGGATTTAAAAAACTAAAATATTAGAATCGTAACTAGTTAATTGTTACTGCATAATTTTCAAGTCATTAATGTTTCTCTTGTAGAGATATACGGTAACGATTACCAAGTTCTAACAAAAGTTTAGCAAAGTGGTTTTCGAACCCCACACAATTTCATGGACCGCTTAGTTTTAAGGGATTTACAGGTCATTGTTAAAGTTAGGAGCTAAGGTAAACTTAAATAAACTTGAATTAAACTCTGATATTGATTGATTATAAAATTTGCCCAACTTGATTACTTATTAATTCAGGCCCTAAACCCGTACACTTACATTATTTTCGTAAATTGTCAAGTTTTCAAACCAAACTTGGTTGCACTCTTGTTTGTACATTTTCTCTTAAGTCTTTATTAAAATTTAAAATCTGTGCTATTATACAGTTTTAGCTATAATGTTTATTTAATGTTTCTTGTTTCAGACTGCCTCCACCTCCAACTGTATCGCGACTCGAAAGACCGATACAAACAAGGACAAACCAAAGCATCTCTGTCCCTCCAACACTTCCTGGGCTTGGAAACTGGATTTACCCTAGATAAAGAATCCAACACGGTCGCCATTTTGTGCCAAGATGTAGTTGTTGTGCTGGCTTTCGATAACAGAGAACGTTTGATGCAGTGGCAGGTCAAATTAAGTTCGCATTTGGGAGACGGTCCACATTTCCTTGTTCTTGTGTCTTCTGCTCCGCCCAAGTCTCGGTTACCTCCAGGCCCAGCGAGACTCCATGTCCAGGAAAGAGGTTTTTGTTTGACGGCCGGTGTTCCTCCTAGAGTTGCAGGCGAATGGCTCATCAGTAATCTAAGGAGATACGGTGTGGTCGAAGGGAGATTTTGTTTTGAGGGGGGTTCCAGGTGTGGGAAAGGGGAAGGTTTGCATGTTCTGTTAACCGATCAGGGAGAAGAAATTACGTCTACATTGAAAGTGGCCGCTGTTGGACAACTACATTCCTCGCGGAGAAGACCCGTGTCGAGAAATATGTCAGGTATAAAAATAAACATTTATATTTATCTGTTCGTAGACAATGTTTTCTACGATTTAAAAAAAAAATTGGTAACACAGTAACAGACCTCCGATTGCCCCAAGAGGTACAAATTGATTTTTATAGATGAAAACGATGTCAAAATGTAAAATTTGAAAATCAAAAGAAAATTAAGCATATATCATCTAATTCAGTGCGACTGTTGAATAAGTTCCAATATACGTTGTTTAAATTATTAGTGAAACTTTGGACCAGTCTGTATATGAGCCATAGACAACTTTTTTTTTTAGTTTTGAAATTATTGAGTGGCGTTGTGTCAAAAGCTGCCTATCAAAAGTTAGACAAATTGATAAATAGTTGGTAAATCATCCAGTTGTCTACATTAAAATAAAATAACTTGTACGATTAAAACAGTAATGTGGACATTTTTTTGTCGTGAAAAATACAGGCTGCTATTGTCTAGCTTGCTTCAAATGGTTGGCGCTATATTATTTTTAAACGTCCAATGAAGTTAGAATATGGTAGTGTCAAATTGTAGCAATAATCCATAACAAATTTTTGTTCAAGTTAAATGTCACTGTTAACCATGTAGAAATGTTAATGAATAAAAAACGGTTTGTTTTGTTTTAATTGTCTTAAGAAAGGCTTTTTTATTTTAAAACATGAAATGTGTTTTTTTTGTTTTATTTTTTTTTAATTACCTTTTTCAAATATTTGATGTGACTGATGTTAGTTTTTGTTAGAAAGAGCAGAAATTTTGAAATTTTAGCAAATCATACAAATTAATCAAATAAATTTATTTTTTATAAATAATATTATCAATTCCATGCTGACAACTGTAGCATGAAATATAAATATAAGCCGTGCCAAAAAACATATCAACAAAATTATTTGTTCTAATCTGTATTCAATTTTGAGGTTATGGCAGCATATTGTTGAAGTTTTTGTTGTCCTCCATGTAGTACAAATTTAAATCCAAAGATGGCGCTACAAGGAAAGATTTATTGCTGGTGTAGAAAGACATTAGTACGACGAGTTTCGTTTCTTTACCATAAACTTTATCAGGTCTATAAACAATACACGATATGACACATCAGGAGTGACTTCACAATAATTAATTTATAAATACATGTCTAAGATCTACCTACACTTTCATCCTTATTAATAAGTGGTTACAGTTCTACCAACTTCAAGCAAAATGTGTTGATACCAACTGAAACATAGTTGTTGATCAATTGATCAGGTTATATAAACTATAAAATCAAGTTAACTGGACAATTAGAAACGCTAAAATTGGATATAGTTAAGACGAGACAATCTTCAGAAACTAAATATTGATACTAAAGAACAAGAGACGAATGACCAAGTTAAAGCTGATAAGAGATTTTGTATTAATTTATACGTAAACGAACCTAAAACGTCTTAACTCTAAACATAAAACCTAAATAAAATGAAATTACAAAGAGTGTTACAGTACAGAATTCATTTTATGTTTGTGTCAGACACTTTCACGTTATGAATTACAAAATACCAGTTTAACTGTCAACGACTGACTGGAAAAAGTTGATTGATTCAATAGACAGCCCAGAAGTTTAATAAATCATTCCTTAAGGCGAAATGTTATATCAAGTCTACGTTAATGTTTGTAACAGAGTTAATTAAGTAGTTAATGTACATATTGGAAACATCTTTACCAAATATAACGGTTGTTCATTTGAAAAGTTCATTAAGTTGCTATTGATTTTTCTTTTTTTTTTAATATGTCTCTCATGGATCGTCTAATCTAACCTCACTTTTTCCAATGTAGTAGGTGAGGAGAGTAAATAAGACTTTTTTTTTAATTATATTAAAAACAGGTTTCATGTTACAATATATGTTGAAAATGTTGCAATTTTTGTTCAATTATTTGCTGTAAGTCATCTAGATTTGCAACCGGCGTTTGAAAAATTGTATTTTTTAAGATGACGCCACAAGAAAAAAATCACAAGTTGTCAAATCACAGGAACGAGGTGGCCAAGGAATTTCTGTATTTCGACTATAATTATGCGGTCATCAAAGTTTCTTACGAAATTTAAGTTGCTCATTGTAGTACAACGAACGGGAACTCCATCTTGTTGGAAGAATCCGTTCTGCAATTCATCCTCGTGTAACTGGTTGACAAAGGGCTCTAAAATTTCCTTTGGATATCTAGCAGCATTTAGTGTACCTACCTAATAAAAAATGAGAGTAAAAACTAATTTTAATTATAATTTTTTAACATTTTTATTGATTATTCTATTGGGTTGCCAGAAACTTCGGAGGTACCTACAGACTAGTAGATGAAATAAAATTTACTAGCCCAGAATCCGAAAAGTTTGGATAGGTAGTAAGCAGGCATGTTGTAAATTATCCCAATGATTATTATGACACCCAAGGCAAAAATACGAGAAATATAAAAAATAGAAATAGCACATTTTTTATCTACTCGATTAAGTTTTAGAATGTCTTACCTTCATATGTACGTTAGAGTAGCTTTAAAATCTATAAAAAAATAATTAAAAGGTGTTTAATTGAAAGTGCTTTCTACAACTTCGATAAATTTTTTGAATGCAAATTTCTTCGTAAATTTACAAAATTAAAATTTTGTAGCATTTTTACAAAACCGTTTTCAGTTTCCCCATGATGATTTTGATTTTGATTTTTAGTAATGGATAGTCCGAGACGTCCGACACTTCGACCAGACTGCCGAGCCACAGTGGAACTGAGCGATTCGTCCATCCTTTCCCGCGCAGAGTCTCCTTACACCGACTTAGAAAGCAATTATGGTTGTGGTGATAGTATTTCGAATGATGGTTGGGGCGTACCACCGATAGAACGCTGCATGAGTTGTATTAGTAAACTTGGAGCGTTGTCTAGATCGTCAACAGCAACGGTGACGATATCTGTACCTTGTTGGGAACACACGTGTGATAGGCATTCGATCAGCAGCGGGTCCGACAGCAGCGGTTGGAGTCAGGCCGTCACCAAGCCCCCAGCGAGACCCCCGAAACCCGGTACTGTGGCTGTGGCATCACCCAAAAAACCTCCGGCACCGGTACCCTCGTGCTATGACAATTACGACATTCCTAAAATACCTTATCCGGTGGTAAGAGATACGAAAGTTTAATTAGCGGTACTTAGCGAAAACTTTCAGGAACCAAAGTTGGACGAACATTACGACACCCCGCGCAAGTTGAAGGAATGCTTGTTCGACACTGTCCACAAACCATGCGGTTGCATAGTGAGAATTAGACAACCGGAGCCAGAAAGGCCTTGCGTTTGCCAACGTTTGATGTCGTGTTGGTCGGGGGACGAAGACATAAGCGCCCTCTACGCTACCGTCGATATGAGTAAGAAGTGTCAGAGGAATCAGACTGCGATCACTACTGCCAACTATGCCAACGTAACTCCGTTGTCGACGACTGCGGCGACAACTTCTTCTTCCAATTACGAAAACATGGAATTTGCTCAAACCCTCAAACTATACGAAAATAGTAAAGAAATCGGAGATAAAGCCAAAGCGTTGTGTAGTAAGTGTGGTCACGCTCAAGACGACTACCTCATGATGGAACCCTCTCTGAAGCCGCCTCAGCCGCACCCTGGCTATATACCGATGTCCCCGGCGGTGAAGCAGCGCCTAGGTAAAGCTTTTTCTAGTAGTAACCCGAACTTGGCCCCGACTCTGGATCGCTCGAACAAGCCCTCCGGTTCTGCCATGCTGCATGCCAACGTCTACCAGCGCAAACAACTCCTCGATTCCACCGATAATTTGGATTTGAAACGCAGGCGCTCCAACTCTGCCGATTCCTCAAGTCGTTGCGAAGAAGTCGAAACATCTCCGTGCCATTGTACTCAGTCTATTGCCGTTAGAAGGTCGTCTTCAGTTCCTTGTAAATCAAACCGCGATTCTTCTAGTTCTAACGATTCGGGCGTGTTCGAGTTACCACACAAGACACGGCTGTGTACGATTTCTACGTTACCTAGACGTTCGAAATCATCTGATCCCCTCAGAGACCTGAGTTTCCAGTTTAATAAGGCTGATGGGAAGTCGGCGAGCGCCGAAGCTGAAGTTCCAGTGTGTCCGTCGGGATCTACCAGCAGCGGTACCTCGGACATGTCCGATTATTTTGAGACGCTGTCCTTGTCATCGCACAGTTCAAATGAGGCTCCTCCACCCAGCTGTACTCTCAGACCGAGGTCTGGAAATGAGTACCTTAGCTTGCAGAGGCTCATAGTACCCGTTCCCGAAGAACGACATAACTAGTCTACAAATAGGAAGCAATAAATATTACAGTATCTAGTACAACATTACTATGATTATACTTATACATGTAATCTTTTCTGTAAAAAGTATTACTTTATAATAAATTATTCGCTGAAGGAGTGCCAAGTTTTGTTTAGCTGCATTTGTTGCACTTTTATATATTTAGAAAGGTATTATGTGTAACATTTTGCATTCATTTAGACAAAAACGCGTTTATAATTATAAGTAGCATAAATAATAAGCTGTCCAAGAACTGACTGGATAACGAGAAAATCGTAATTATTTTGACGCCACAGAAAAGGTGCATACATGCAGATTTTTTTGGAGCAGTTTGTATACAGGTAGTGAGAATTGGTGTGGATAATAGTGGGTAAAAGTACATATGGCAATGGATAATAATAATTTAATTTTAAAGTTATATCATTAGTTATTTAGAAGTGGGAGTAGACAAAATTGAAATTGTAATTATTGATAAATGTGTTTTGAGATTCGGTAAACTTTACAGTTTTTGGGTTCATGGCGTTTTATCAGTATCAAGCTAAAACGTTGCTCTTTAAAAACAACATTAAATTAAATTATGTATTAAAAGAGCAGTTGCATTACAGGAACCAATAAAAGATTCACGGGAAAAATAATTTTCCACATTTAAGAAATACTTCCAACTACAACTGCAGCAAATCGTGTGGGACATTAGAAAATCGACGAAAACAATAAAAAATCATACCAAATTATCTCAAAAATCACAAAAAAACTAAGAAAAACACATCTTCTACAAAGGAAACGGCTGATATATGATAAATCGATATTTCGTTTCTAGCGGATGAAGCAAAAAAAGTAACCCAAAACCATCAATGTCCAGGTAGATTTTACTCATACAATTACAAAAATAAAAGAAAAAATGATTCTCAAAAATCTTCCCATTAACGAATTTTTCAAAACTAAGCAAATCCATATCAAAAATGACTAAAAAAATTCCAAAAAATGGATGCCTTTAAGATCCCCAAATTTTTCAGCCGGTCTCATTGTTGGAGATAAAAAAATTTAGCTAAAACCATTAAAAATGCAGGTACAGCTTTCCAAAAAATTGCGAAAAAACTGACAAAAACTCATTTCTCAGACACCATATTTTGAGACAAAAATATCACCTACATTGCTAAAAAAACAAAGCAAAACACTGCAATTTATACCATAAAAATTTTGAGAAATTCTATGAATATCATGTTTTATGACCATATTCAGTAAAGATGTAGTTCAAGCAACGCTTTTGGTTTTTTATTAAAAAAAAATGTTGGTTAAAAACACAAGGCCAATGAATCAGAAGTACATTTTCGACAACTGACTACAAAAACGAAAAAATGACACCCATGGATGTGATTGCGGCGTAAAACGACTAGATTTGTATTGGTCGTCTAAAAATTTACATATTTTTTAATTCATTCAATGCTGAAATCTATTTGGAGTTTGACTCGGTTTCTGCTAGAATGTATGCATAGTACCTAATTAAAAAACATAAATAAGAAGAAAATAAACATGTAATATTTGGTTACATTTCTTACCTAGCAATAAATCTATAGTAGATATTACTGTCTACTGTCTACTTCTTTATCTAAATTGACAACTGTTGGAAAATAAATAAAATAAAAATAAGTCCCAAACCAAGGAATTTTCGATAAAGTATACAGTGCGTATTTTTTAAACGTGGCCACAGGAATTTCCATGTTAAATTTTATACCCCATATTAACTTATCTTTGAGTTAAGATTCAGAGTTGAAATTTTACTGGATGTAATTTAGGTAATCTTTTGTCGATTTTATAAAAGATCATGCTTTAAATTGAAGGATATTTCTTAAAAAAAAAAGATCACTTGTCGATAATATTGTGTAGGCAGCCATGTTAAAACAGAACCTGACGTTTCTGAAATTTGATTACTCCTTTCATTACTGTTTTTTCTGACCGAAATTCGTTAGCATGCTGCAGTACACAATTAAAGAAAAAGTTGCGTAAATTTCATGAGTGGGTAAATTTTTGTTTACCTTTGAGTGGAATATAAAATTTTATTTTATATTTTTATCGTTTTATAACAAAATTCCGAAAGCTTTCAATGCAGTATTTGGCTGTGGATTTTACATAGCATTGTTTATTATTTTCCACGTCGAATTTTTATGAAAATGCGTCTTCATTTACACTGGATAAGGTAATTGTACCACAAGTAATAGCATTGGAAGCTTCAAAAGCAACATCTAGTTTACTTCCCACCAAGTTTTATTAATTTGAAATGTAGTGAAGCGTGAAGCAGCGAATATCGTAAGAGTAAATATTTCCATTTCTACCACCACTTCGGTTTCCGTAGTTAGGTATAAAAAATGACTGAACTGTGGGTAAAAATGACGTAAGAGTTTGTAAAAGTACACTTTACCATAAAAAAAATTGTGGGTAAAAGGGAAAAACAACTATGTATAAGTATAAAATAAAAATATGAATCAGTATTTTTGTATTTTAGAAAACAAGCAGAGAATATTGTAAATTTAGCAAAATTAGGAATGCTAAGAATTTCTTTTTCGAAGTAAATTTGGTTGAGCAAAGTTATACAACAATTCACATGAATTTCACTGTTATAAAAATCTAGGAGTATATGATAAAACATGTAAGAAGTGTAGAAACTCAATTAACTGTGAATTATTATTAAGTGAATGTGGTATCACACACAATTTAACCATAAACATGCAATTACATAAAACAGGTTTACTAATATACAATTACAAAAAAACGAACTGTTTATGAACAGCTACGCTTTTAGAATGCGCAGTATTATTGAAACATGTTTTTACTAATAAATTGGTAGCCATAATATATATGTAAATGGAGAGATATACAAAGAAAATTAAAAATTCAATGTATTAGTAGATATACGAAAGCCGATTTAATCAAAAGAATTATTAGAGTATAAAAATCACGATAAAAAAAGAGAGAAGATATTTCTTTTTTTTAACGTCAGGATGCAGACTTGACTGTAAATAATATTACTGCTAAACCAAAAAAATTGGTCCAAGATTACTTAGACACAACTTCCCTCGCCCTTGAAGTACACAGTCCAACAAATTCCGCTTCTTTGAAAAATTATAACAAATTTTTGTTTTCTGATAACCTTTAGATATATAGTAAAAACCAGTGGTGTAAATAACACTCCGAACCCCTTGCTCCGCACGGGCGCAAATTCCAAGGAGACGCCGTCCGTAGACACACGGACAATATGAAATATATTCAAAGCAAATAATCAACGGAAAAGGGGGTAGTATTATCAGTGTTCATACGTAACTTCGATTGTTTATGTTTATACATCGAAAGAATGTTAGGTGGAAATTTATTTAATTTGAATGAGTTGTCTCCTCAAAACAGATAACTAGAATTATTAACTAAACCACAATGGAACATGATTATTATTATCCTTATTTAATCATAATTAAATAAAGACCTGGATATTTTCACATTTTTTAGAAAATGGGGTCCTTAATTTGATCAATAAAAAATTGGTCGAAGGCTATAAGTATAATCCGATAAATCCAGCTTTTTAATTATAATTATAAAATTTGATTTTAAGATTTTCGTTTTGTGATAATCGTTGTAAAGTAAAAATAACACCCCCGCAGCCCCTGCGCCGTACAGACAATCAAAAATATATTTAAACCACATAACTAACGGAATAAAATGTATTTCAGCACTAGGTAATAGCAATCTGAAGCTCAAGTGTTTATTTATGTTTATACATCCAAAGAATGTCACATAGAAATTAGTTTGATTTGAATGAGTTAAGTCTTCTCAAAACCGAGGATTAAAATTATTAACTAAAACACAATCTGATTATTATAATTCTTATTTTATCATTATTTTAAAAAGACGTGCGTATTCTTCACATTTTCGTGAAAATGAGGTGACTCGTTCTATATTTGACTAACAAAAAAATGGTGATGATGCCATCAACATGGATAACATTACACAGCATAAAACAAAAGTAGTCACGGCGTATTATCAATGCAAGAAATAAAAATAAAGGACATGGGGTGGGATTTTATTTCGACCGAAACGAAACGAAGCGATAAATGACAAGGACGAAAATATAAATTTCAGATGCGAAAGAAAAAGAGGACCCCACTTTATCGGAACCGATATTTTATCGTCATAGAAACAAAATCCCACCCCAGGTTCGCAATCGAACCCACGAAGTCACGACCGCAGGTCGCCGTTCACCCTGATATAACCACTGCGCCACGAGGACTTACATACCGTGGTGATAATATAATGCAATTATTCCGTGCAATTGTTTTTACAAAAATTTGAATGTTTAGCAAAAAAATTGAAAGCGGATTTGTTCACTACAAGTATAGAAATATATTTTTGTATAACATTCAAATAATTTAAAAATACAATTCATTGGAATGACCCCATCAAATTGTTGCTGGGGTTGATTACCCAAATTTTAGTTAGCGTTTAACCATCTACAATTCTACATGATATTCCTAATGTACCTACGTACAAAACTTGACAACAATATAGGTCCGGTAGTTTCGGAGATTACGTGTCTAATAAAACTGATGACTCTAGAAGTCATTCAGTCGAGAAAAGATGAAAGTGGCAATTCGACCGATTACGATGGACTCGATTACAACACTTCCTTAGCTTACGTTCGGGAAGTAATAATACCAATCATTATTGTAGTTTTTTTTTCCATTTTCTTTCATTATATTTCAGTAACGAGTTATCTAGGATAATAAAATTTCAAGGAAAGTAACTTTTTATTTTTGGGTTTGTACGGCATATTTTTAAATTAGTGATATTTTGCTTGTTTTTTAAAACATATGTTAGTGCATATAATATAGGAGTATGCTTTATCTTTAGTGCATATCTGCTTGTCTCTACTAATATGCGTTCAAAATTTGGCAAAAAGTGGTCCAATAGTTTCGGAAGTTATTTGTCTAATAAAAATAGGTACAGACACCAGACAGTCAGACAGACTGAACTACTGAACAGAAACTAGAGATCACTTAGTACTCTGGGAGTCATGAAACATCAAGAAAATATGAAAGTTGCACTTCGTCCGATGAACTCGACCTATTATACTTCCTTAGCTTACGCTCGGCAAGTAAAAAGAGTCAAAAGATCATGGAGGACTTCGAAATGGTTAAGATATGAATTTGGAATAATAAAATTGAAATATACATTAGATAATGACGAATTTCAAGTTATTAATTTTACGCGAAAAAACTTACATTGGTTGCAACCGACCTTGTCTTAATTTTTTTACATTTAACTGGAGGGAAAATAAATGAAAAGAAAAAAAAAGAAGTTATTAAAGTTGTTAAGACTTTATTAATGATAGCGTTAAGTGATGTAGAATTTTAATGTCCATGCTATGTTTTTGCAAATGAAATTCTTAGTTTTTTGATGTTAGTTTTATTGTTAATGCTATATTTGAGGAATGTAATTTTTTGTTTTGTTTTCACTAAGAGTAATAATTCTGGGTTGTAATAATGACTTGAATAAAAAGATTGGAAAAATATAAAAGTATCTTAAGTTAAAAGAAGTATTTGATTTTCATAAACATGATCTAACATAAGGGAATAAATGAAGATATACCTTTTAGCCGTAACATTATGCAATAAATTTAAAATAACATCAAAAGTTATACCTTTATGTTGGTTTGTGCTAAGAGAAATAAAACAGCATATGTTGACATATTATTACAAAGCTTATTTTTTAAACAAAACAAAAAAAATCATTATTTGATTGTAGCTTCAAATTTATCGTTTAGGAAAAGTTTTGCTTTGTTTAAATTTCCTGAAAAAGATTAGATTTCGAACTTACGGCCTTTTGCCTTCTGCCACAGATTTGTGACAGAGTTAATTGTAGATATTGGAAACATTTTTACCAAATGTATATTTATCGAATTAACTGGCATTTTTTGTGCAAAACTGGCAAAACTGTTTGGATTGCCCCCCAACACTTAGGCTTTTGCTACGACTCTGGCTCCGACCATAGTCCCGTCCCCAAAAAATGTCACTCGATCAGTATTATAAATTGTACAAGACAGAAAAATAAACGGTCTACCACTCAGAAATCGTAGTCCACTCCAAACTCCCGGGCGGATTCCCTGATCCACGGCAAAAAGCTAGCCACTCTCGTGTAGACCCCCGGTCTGTCTTTTTTCGCGCAACCGTCTCCCCAGGACACGATTCCCGTCAGTTCGTGCCTCCCGTCCCTCTCACAGACTAGCGGCCCACCCGAATCACCTCCGCACGCGTCAATTCCTCCTCTCAAGTGTCCCGCGCACAGCATCGAGTCCAAGATCGGCTGCTGCCGTCCGCCGTAGACGCCGTCCTTCCGGCACGTCTCCAGGGAGAGCAGCGGCACTGCCGCCGACCTCAGCACCGGCGAAAGCCTGTCCGGCGTCGAGGGGTCGCTGGCGCCCCAACCCGACACCTCACACCATGTGCCCGGTGGCGGCGACTCGTAGGCGAAGCACGCCGGCTTGACCAGTATGTTGAAGCGCACGCCGGGAGCGGCGAGGAGCAGCACGGCGATGTCGTGGCTGTACGGCCCCAGCTTGCGGAAGTCCGGATGTTGGATGGCGCGCTCCACCCGCAGCACCTGCTCGTAGGGGGCGGTGCCTGGGGGCCCGTGCGCGCCGGCCACCACCACCAGGCCCTCGAGCCAGCAGTGAGCCGCCGTCAGCACCAGGCGCACGCTGATCAGAGCCCCGCCGCACTGGTGGCGGTCGCCGAAGCGCAGCTCTACCTGCCAGGGGACGGCGCCGTACGGCGGCTCCTCGCCGCCCACCACGCGCGGCTCCCGCTCAGGCTTCCAGGGGATGGCGCGGCGGCCGCACGCGTCGGCGGGGAACTTGGGGAAGCCGCCGCTCGCGCACGCCGGTGACACGCTAACGAGGACGACGACGACGACGACGACGACGAGGAACATCGCGTTCAGAGCTGGAAGAAAAAGAGAAAGAATAGCATTAACTAAAAAAAAAAAAATAACACTAGAAGGTGCGAAGAAGTTAATTATTTTTTATGTTTGCGCATAATTACCATATATTCGAAAATGTATGTTACAGATCCGTGTAAAGCGTTCAAGGAAGAACCAACCTTAAGTTAGTATTGATGCGAGAGGCATCGCGGACGTTTATGGGAATTTGGTTCGATGGTGCGCGTTTTATGCGTACCCACTACCCGAAAATAACGCGTTGAGATGGAGTCGTCTCGGCGATTACGACTGCGGAAAGTTTTGTGCATATCCGTCGAAAAACTGGGCCGCCGACCCCCGACAGGGCCGGCTTCAGATGGTAGCGCGTGAGGGAAATGCCTCAGGGCACAGATTCGCTCGATGAAGAAGAGGGGAGGTGTATATTATGTAATGAGATACATTTTACTTTTTACTTAACCGTAATAAAATTAAATAAAAGATTAACAAACTCGTTTATGCATCTCTCTGTAACCTAGAAAATTATTATTATTGCCAAAAAAACCAAAAGGAGAACATTATAAGCGTCCTATTGGTATTTTAACAACGTGGTTTTAGTTATTACAATCATTTACAAAGATAATAATTAATGAATGAACCGATGCATGTTTTCACGTTGCTCAGAACGAGGCACTATTTTTATAGGAATTAAAAATTTCCCATCTTCAAAATTTACAATAGTAAATTTGTTTTTATTTTTGTAAAATAAGATACTCGTGCATTTGTGGTGAAAGAATCCGTTTTAAATTTTCACCCTACACATACAGATCTTTGGAAAAACAACCAAAATTGTATAACAAGATTTTGCACTTTAATTTGTAAGTGAAATTATAATTAAATTACCGAAAATTTGGGAAAACAGTACTGTTATTATTAGTGTGGCACAGCATCCATTCAAATCGGTTTTTATAATATTTCGAAAAATCTGGATTTATTTACCTTCGACATATTTTTTGATATTACATTTTTCGTTTGTACTTTTTATTCGATTTTACAATTTTTTATATCACATTTTCTCGTTTTTTCACCTTCTTTCATTTTTCAATTTTTCCATTTTTTCAATTTCTCGACATTTTCAATGTTCCTGCTGTTCATTTTATAATTTTGGGATTCTCAATTTCCCATTTTTCCAATTTCCCATTTTTCCAATTTTAAAATTTTTCAATTTTGCAATTTTTGGATTTTCAATTATCTGATTTTCTAATTTCTTTAATGTTCAATATTTCCATTTTTGAGTTTCTCAGTTTTAATCCATCGATTTTTTGATTTTTCGTTTGTTCAGTTTTTGTATTTTTCAAAGTTTTGATTTTATACTTTTTTGTTTTTTCATATTTAATTTTTCAGTTTTGCTGTTTTTCCTTTTTTCAATTCGAAAAGTTGAAAAATCGAAAAGCTAAAAAATCGAAAAAGTGAAAAATGGAAAAAATGCAAATGGAAGAACCGAACAAATGAGAAACTGAAACATTGGAAAACTAAAAATCGGGAAACTTAAAAATCGGAAAAAATTATGAATCGAAAAATTGGAAAAAAGAAATAACGAATTAAAGTAAGTAACAAAAGTTTGAAGAGCGCAAAGTTGTAAAATCGAAAAATTTTAGAATCGTCAAAATCGTAAAATCGAAAAACTGTAACACTGAAAGGTCGAAAAATTGAAAATTTAAATATCGAGAAATTGAAAAATTAAAAATCGAAACATTGAAGATCGAATGAATGAAAATCTTTTAAAATCTACTGATCAAAACTAGTAAAACTGTAACAGTGACAGAATTTTAAAAAATTAAAATTATTATTAGATCCATATCTAAAATGAAAACTAGAAAGATTGCATATCAAAAATTGAAGAAACGAAACATTGAAAAATTGAGAAACAGAAAAATCTAAAATTGAAAAAACGAAATATTTAAAACTCGTGAAACTGAAAATCGAAAAACTGAAAAATTTAAAAATAAAAACTCGAAGAGTTGTATGTCGTAAAAATGAAGAACCAAAGAAAAAATGAAAAACTGAAAAATTGCAAATCGAAAAAATTGAAAAAACGAGAAATTGTAAAAATGAAGAAAATGAAAAACGAAAACGAAAAATTGCAAATCGAAAATTTGAAGAAATGAAAAGTTAAAGAATCGAAAAATTGAAAGATTAAAAATAAAAAAATCTGAAAGTCGGATAAATGAAAAAGTGTTAAAATCCAATAATTTGAAAAAATTCTAAAATCGTAATATCGAAAAAGTGAAAAATTTTAAAAATCAAGTGTTATTACATATTTAAAAATGAAAACTAGAAAAATTGCAAATCAAAAATTGAAGAAACGAAAAATTAAAAGATCTAAAAGTTGAAGGAATGAAACATGGAAAAATTCCCTATTAAAAAAAAGAAAAATCATAAAATCAGAACATTGGAAAACAGACAAATTGAAAACATGAAGAAAATAAGAAACTGAAACGAAAAATTGCAAATCGAAAAATTGAAAACATGAAAACTCGAAAAATTGCAAATACAAAAATTGAAAATTCCGAACATTTTACATTGAAAAAAAGAAAAATTATAAAATCGGAACATTGAGAAACCGAAAAATTGAAAACACAAAGAAAATAAAAAACCAACATTAAAAATTGAAAAATTACAAACTGATAACTCGAGGACTCAAATCGAAAAATTGCAAAATCTAAAAAATTTAAGTATTCGAAAGTTGAAGTTGAAAAATTCAAACTGAAAAATGTAAACTTGATAGCTTGAAAAATTGTAAATCGAGAAACTGAAGAAATAAAAAAAAAAATTCAAGGCAAAAAAACATGCAGGAGTATTATTTACGCCACCGATTTTTACTTGATAGAGGTTATCAGAACACAAAAATCGCTATTGTTTTTTACAATTTTTCAAGGAGGTATTTGTTGAGTTGCACTTCAGAGTCGGGGGAAGTTCTGTCGAAATAGCCTTCGAACATGTTTTTTCTTTTACTTTAAGAACGATATATTTAATTTTTGTGAACTTCTTATGGTAGAGCAACTTCGATAGTATTACTTTAACACAATTAAAATTTAAAAATATGCTAAACATGTAAATCGTTATTCAAAAATACGCTCTTATGTGCATTAGTTGTTCTTCAGAGACGAGGGCAGTTCTGTTTAAACAACTTTAAACCAATTTTTACTTCCCCAGACTAAACTAATTAAGTATTGTAATAATTTTATGTATGCTAGAGTACGAATAAGAAATCTACCGTTTTTGTCTGTCTGTCGTATTTTGGCGACTTTATTAGATGGATGATCTCCGAAACTACTGGACTGATCGCTATGAAATTCTAAATGTTTTGCAGAAATGTGCAGATGGTAAAACGCAACTTTGTTTAATGCACCGCATCCGCAGCAACAGTTTGATGTTATAATTTCAAAATGTTGTTAAATAATAATTTAATACCATTTCAATCAATAATAGTAAACTACTCAACTCCCTCATATTTTTACTTCCCGAGCGTAACTTACATTTTCTCGACTTTTCATGCGTTTCCCATCGTATCTAAAATGTGTAAAATATGATCAGTCTATACTTGTGACTTGTGATTTCTCATTGAATTCATATTTTTTAGATTTACTTATACAGGACAGGGTGACCCAAAAAAATTAATGAATCTTTCAATTATTTTAGTGATTAAATCACGGCTCACGCCATTTTCCCAGAAAAACAGTACTGCTATTTTTAGTATTACACTGTACCAATCGAAGTTAATATACGTGTCAGTAAACTGCTCATTTCAGGGAGTAATGTTTTTTATAAAGGTTTCTCGCCAAAGACATCTGAAAAAACATTAGTTTTTCATAACATGTAATTCGGAAAACAAATCTCTATTATGCATCTCAAATTGATCAAACTTTGTTCCAAATTTTAAATAATTGCAATAAATGGTATTCGAGTTTAATATTTTTCCCACCTCACCTTTTCCAGTTAAAATAAAAATTTATCTTGTATTATTATTTTCAGTTGTAATATCTTTGTAAAACTTCGCCTGCGCGAGCAACTTACCAGATAACCTATGTTTTTTTGATAAATTTCGATAATAAACTGAAAAAATTGGTCTAAAGAAATTATGCAGTACTTCCCTCACACTCAAAGCGGTGATCCGATGCTTGTCAGGTCATGGAGGGTCAGGTCAGGTCAGGTCAGGTCAGGTCAGGTCAGGTCAGGCTAGATCAGGTCAGGTTGATTTTCTAGTATCTCGGTTTTAAAAGCTTTAATTTTTCAGTTTTGCGATTATTGGAACTTTTAGATTCTTCTTTATTTTTCAATTTTTGTATTTCACAACCTCAGTTTTTCCATTTCTTGATTTCTGTATTTTTCCATTATTTTAATTTTCAATTTTTCACTTTTCAGAATCTACTACAGTCGAACGAAATGTTTTGAATACCATTATTAAACAAAGACTCGTTCTTAATTTGACCGATACAAAATTTATGATGACGTCATCAACATAGTTAATACTAATCGTAGCACAAAAGAAAAAAAAGGCTCGATATTTATTTCGACAGAACTACCGTCGTCCATAAAGTACAGTATATCAAACCAGTTCTTTCGGAAAATTAAAAAAATTGAATTTGTGAATTTGATTTTTTTCCGTATGTGCCTACGTAATGTTCAAGTAAAGGTAAAAACGTGCTACGCGTTTGTTTTAAGTGAGTTCTGTTACAAAATTTTGTCATGGCCTTATCAACATTTTTGAATATACGTATATCAGTTTGAATAGATGCAGTGTAATGGTAATAATAAAAGTATTGTATTCCTAAATTTTCGGAAAAGTGGACTGAGTCGCCTTGAATCTTGATTTATAATATAACGTAACAATTTAATCACGTCTACCGTGTGTAATGTAATAGCAGAGGTGCAATTCAAGAATGGACTGAAAATAATTTATTGTACTCGTAATTTAAGATAAATAGCGATAACCCTTGTGAAGCTATAGACGTGAGAGTGAAACAGAGAAACTAAACTAAAAGATATTGTTACGTTGGACGGGTATTTAAAATCGGCGTGGGTAAAACTCAACAATTTATTTCTTAGTAACTCAATTTTACACGACTAATTATACAGCGATTATGTACAGAATAATTCCGACTCGACTGGAATGGATTTGACTAGACTATACTTCTCCCATTGTCTGGATTGC